ATTCTGAAGAGCAAAGCCCAGAGCCAAGAATGTTCAAGCCAGAAGGGATTTCTAAGAGGAACAGACAGGGCCTCCCCTCACGGAGTTCACAGGCTGGGTGGGAGACCCGGCTGCCCGGGCCCCTGAGCATGGCTCACACAGGAAGGGGAGGCCGGGCCAGTGGGAGAGAAGCCCAAGAGGGGACATTTACATGGGCACAGAGTCGGGCCGTAGGGGACTGAGTCTAGCATGTAATTTCCTGGACAGACATCCAAAGAATAGGCAATCAAAGAAAATATAGATAAGGACACCCAGAAAATACAAAACTTTTGTACATCTGAGGATACTACGGAGAGAGAAAAGACAACCCGGAGGAGGGGAGAAAGTCTTAGCAAATTGTGTGCCTGGTGAGGGATTAGCCTCCAGAATATATTACATACTTCTACAGACTCCGCCGACAACCAGGGAAAAAAACTCAATTCAAAAAAGTGGGCAAAGGATTTGAAGAGATATTTCTCACAGTAAGATACAGGCATGGCCAATAAACACATGAAAAGATGTTCAGTGTCACCAGTCCCCAGGGGAATGCGAGCCAAAGGCACAAGGAAACACTACCTCACAGGCATCAGAGTGGCTTTGCTAGAAAGCTTCAGAATTCCAAGCACCGGGGAGGTGTGGAAAGATTCGCACCTTGTGCACCACTGGTGGGAATGGGAAAGTGGGCAGCTGCTGTGGAAAATCACTTGGCAGTGCCTCAGAAAGCTAAATACGGAATTATCATATGACCCAGCAATTCCACGTGTGCACCCCATAGAATGGAAAGTGGAGACTCAGGTGATACTTGTACACTGTGCTCTGACCGGTGTGGCTCACGGCAGCACAAAGGGTGGAAGCAGTCCAGGTGTCTGTGGGCAAAAGGTGGTGCCTGTGCCCCCACTCAGGAAGTGCCATCAGCCACAGGAAGGAGGGAGGCACAGGCGTGCCCTGGCACAGGCGAACTGGGCATGCACGTGCTAAGGCAAGGAGGCCAGGCACAGGGGGACACATGGTGTGTGACTCTTATTCTGTAGGCTCCCTCGAGTGGGCAGATTCTTGGAGACAAGTGCCGAGCTGAGGTTCCCAGGGGCTGTGGTTGGCCGTGGATCGGAGAGGTTTTACGTATTGGGCATGGAATTTCTGTTTGCAGGAATGAGAGAGCTTTGAAAACAGCTCGTGTTGGTCATACAGCATTGTGAATGTCATCAATACCATCGAAGCACTCTTGAAAATGGTAAACTTGTGATAATGTATTTACCACAATTTTTTCTTAAAGTCCTTCACCAAAAGCCGTTGAATTGTACAATTTACATAGGTGACTTGCCTGGTTTGTGAATGGTATCTCATAAAGTGTTAAAGAAAGAGACAGAGACAGAGTGAGGAGCAGCCCCCTTCAAAGACCCCCGAGAAGGGGTGCGATGCTGGGAACGCATGGGGATGCATCGGAGCGGAGGGGCAGCACCCGGCACCTCTCCCTGCCCACACTGCTCCCAGCTCGTTGTGTGCCAAGCACAGCCTCCCTCGGAAGCCAATTTTCTGCACGGTGAAAATGTTTTACCCGGGCCCACTTGAGCAGATGGCCCCCCACCTTGGCCCGAATTGAGAAGCACAGAAATCAAACGGGACCGACGGCTTCCTTGGCAGTGTCTTACAGGCACACAAGCACGTGAACTCACGCACCTCCCTCCCCGGCCAGCGGGCTTCCTCACGGCTGCACGCCGGAGCTGGGCCAGGTCCACAGGGAGCCTCCAGAGAACCCTGCACACCCCACCTGGGCTCCCGGACCTGCTGCCTGCTCCTGGCAGGTGCTCAGAGACACCTCCTGGATGACCAAGGGAGCGAACGTGCTGCTAAGGCCTTGCCTGTGGTTTCCTCCCCTGCACCTCTTCTCTGCCCACACCCTGCACCCTGCATGGAATAGATTAGGATGAGGGCGGAGAACAAGTGTGACCTGTAGGTTTGGGGAGGGCCACAGAGACCCTGAGGGGAAGGTCACCATGGTGGAAAAATCTGATGATTGAGGGGCGAAGAGCGAGTGGCGGAAGCCAGAGTTCCTGAAGCAGGGAGGTACAGGGCTTGCAGCCGGGAACATCAGGTGCCCCAGGAGGGACGTTCCTGGTACTTGCAGGATGCACAGGCTGATCCTTAGGCTCCAGAAGAGACTAAAGGGGCCACACTGACCACCCCGACTGTCCCTGTCACTCTAAGCTGCAGGAGACTGGGGAGACCCCCACCCACCACCTCCACAAGTGATCGTGTCAGTGGTGGGCAGTGCTTGTGTCCCTCCTGGAGTGGGAGACAAAATGATTTCCAGGTTTTAAGGATCTCACTGTTAGGAACATTTATTTGGTGTCCGGTATGAGGAGAGGTGTACTGCCAGCATGTTCAGAGGGAGCTTGTGGCATCTCCTGCGACGGAGCCACTTGCCGGCCATGACTGTCTGGAGAGTGGTGTCCTGCTCCCATGGGTGGCACTGCAAGCAACTGAGGCTGTGGTGACTGCTGAGTGTGGGATGTGGCTGTGTGACAGTTCACCTCTCAAAGCCTTGCTCTTCGGAGATCAGCGAGGGGACACTGGGGATGAGCCTATCTGGCTGCCTGGTGGGAGGGGCCAGGAGCAGGTCAGGACCCCATCTTGTGGACCGCTTCTGCCCAGGGGCCCAGGACGGAGCGCATGGCCACACCCAGCCTGCTTCCTGGGGCACAGAGACCTAGCAGGGTGTGGGGGCGGGGCTCCTACACGGAGCGGGAGGCAAAGTAAGATGTAATGTGGGACAGGAGAGGGAGTTTCGTGGCCAGAAAGGAAGCCAGAGCGAGCAGGAGCCCCACAGTCTCTTCCCGGGGGAGTGCCCCGAGACCTCTGGCCCTCTCACCAGGCCCCAGCTCCCACCAGGGCCACCCTGCAGCCCAGCATCCAACCCGGCCACATCTCCTGCTATTCTGGGGGCTCTGGCATCCTGGGAAGGGCCTGTGGCAGTGGGGAACAGTGTCCAGCCATCCCTAGGATGCAAGGGGGAGCCCTAATGACAGAATCTGGAGGAGGGGTCTCGGCCTGGCAGGAAGGGGAATGGAGGGCCCACCCGTGAGTCTGCCCATGCTAGCCCTGGGCTGCATCCTCCACCTCATCATGCATCCTGAGCCTGCGAGGTGAGTCTCACCAGCCCATTACAGGTGAGGACCATGCCGTTTGGCAGGGTGAGGTGAGAGGACTAGGCTGAGTCGGGACTCCCGAGTTGTACTTCCAGGTCTAGCACAGTCCAGCTGTGTAACTCTGAACAAGCTGCCCAGCCTCTCTGGGCCTCAATCACCTGAAAGTTTGGGAGCGGGACTGGAAGACTCTCAAGGCTCCTCCAGGGTAGGCCTCCTCCACATGAGGAGAGCCAGAGGCACCCCACGGTCTGACAGGTCGGCCTGGCGTGGTGGGCGGTGAGGAGGCGGGCTATGTGCAGGCAGGGTTGTGAAGACGCCGCGGGAAGACACAGCACTGTCTTCCCGAGTGGGAACAGATGGGTGGAAGCTGTGGCTGAATGTAAGGAATCGAGCACAGTATAAGAGAAAAGTAAAAGATAGAAATGTAAAAGAAAACTTGACAGTCCGAGCTGCCGGAAGGTGAAAGTGTCTCTACGGGGTAGCGAGCCCTCCACTGCTAGAAGTATGAAAGCCAAGAGCAGTTTCATACGTCAGTAGGCTTCTAGACACCTCCGGCTTTGTAGCCCTGAGTCCAGTCCCTCTGCCCGGACTCCCACCTAGGTCAGAGCAGCTGCCATTCCCAACCCCTGCCCTCAGCTCCACGGCCCCCTGGGGTTGGTCACCGATGTACCGAGGTCAGGTGGAGAAGGGTGGAAAACCATTATTTCTTCTTCTTCTTTTTTTTTTTTTTTGGTACTGGGGATTGAACTCAAGTCCTTGCGCTTGCGCAACAGGCGGCAAAACCACTGACCTAAATCCCCGGCCCCCATTACTTCTAATGAGAGTTAAAATACCCACCTTTTGTGTGAGTTCTTACAAAGAAATTAGAAATGTAAGCATAAATGACCACACACATAATGATGCACTGTCCTGAGCAGAGGCAGAAGGAGGGGGTGGCCCAGAATCCCACGATGCACACACACGGTAGGCGAACCCCACCTCTACAATGACCCTGGAGGAAACACGCCAGGGGCTCAGGCACTGCTCTGCTCTCCATCCAGCCTTCACCTGAGGGCAGCAGCCTGCATGCCTGCCATGAGCCAGACTTCTCCCCCACCCTCGGGCAAAGGCAGCTCACTCACCCCCACCAAAGCCCCACTCCTCAGTTCTGGCCAGGGAACACCAGGCACTGGGCAGGAAATCCCTGGGCTCTGCCAACAGGAAGCTGGAGTGGCCAGTTCCTTCTGCTAGCCATGTGTACGTGCGTGCACATCTCAACTTGCCAGGTTATTTTGGCTGTGTTCCCTGACCTCACTTTGAGTGTCCTGGGATCTCTAAAACCAGGGAATCTGGACCTTGGAAGGGAGCAGCTTTTAAGTTCCAGGTATACAGAGTAGAACTGGGTCAGGGAAGTGGGATCTTCCTAGCCCAGGATTCCCACAGATACTCATGGCCTTTGTCACATGGCCATAGGGACACCCTCAACCTTCAGTGCAGGGAAGGGGTGCGGGGGACCTGTTGGTGGGATGTGGCAAGGGAGAACAGCCAGGGCTGTTTGGGAACCCCAAGCCCAGGCCGCTGGGGCCTAGCCTTCATTCCCCCAGGAGGGCAGGGGTGGGAGCTAGGAGTTATTCTGCACCCAGTCACCTGGAAAATCACTTCTCCTCTAGGCTTGTGTCAACTGCCCGTGGGAAATGGGGATCCCTCCCTAATCCCAGGGCTCTGTAGGGTTCCCCAGGGGTGCAGTGCAACGGAAGCGCAAAGCATGAGGTCCCTGGCAGGTGAGGTCCAGAAGGTGAGCGAGGTGCAGCCGGACAGGCTGAGGGCGCCGGAAGAGCAAAGACAGTCCAAGGGGCCTGCAGTCTTTCTTCACTCTTTACTGTGTAAAAATAAACTCAACAATTCATGTCATTTCAGCAAGAAAATGAAAAAAGAAAAAAGAAAGCAAGAATACCAGTAGAAATAGTGCATTTCCAGAACTGCTGATGGGAGGTGGCAGGTCCCATGGTTTTGACCCATTTGATACCCAAAAGGCTGCAGATCATATGAAAAATGTACAGCTTTGGTTAGCAAATAATGAAAAAGTAAGATACATCAATTCTCTTTCATATTTTACAGTATATACATTGTAACAATATCAACTTGAGGGGGTTTGCTTTTTTTTTTTGGCAAATAAGACAAAATTGGGACTCTAAGTATTGGGCTTTTTTTTCTCCTCAATGACTTGTTCCCTTTTAATAAATCGTACTTCAGCCCACTGTGCACAGAAGCGATAGATTCCCGTCGTTGGCGGAATAAATTTACGTGCTGTTTGAAGAGACAAAACCACGACTCCTTCCAGCCACACGGTGGTGGCGCCGAGGTCACAGAGTCCTCCATCCTCACGGCTTCTAACCAGGTTGGAAGTGACATCCAAACCCTCGGCCCATCCCCCATCACCGATCTGCTCCCAGACAAAGGGCCCACCCAGAGCAGCCTTTCGGGCCTCCTGGTCCCCAGCGCACCTTCAGAACAGGTGGGCCCTCGCTGGAGCTTGCTGCAAGGACTTCGGACCTCATGCCAAGCCTCTCCCCTGCCCTCGCTGCCCACAAGACACCCCCTTGGTCTCAGGTCCCAGGGCTGGTGACAAAGAGATCTTTGCGGTCTTACAAAATAAACTGGGAATCTACAAAAGGAAAAGAAAGCATACAAAATGTATCTCTTTCTTCCAAAATACAAGCTTTCAGTCCGACGTTTTGGTGGAGCCTGAAAGTGTTTCCAAGGGAGATATAGGTTGAGATAATTTATAGGTTTGTCCTATTCTTTCATAAAAATACTCTTGTTTGGTAATAAACTTTGTCTTCTACAGTAAGAGAAATAATACTGTGTTATCAAAAGCAAGAAGGCTTTACGATTCAAGTGGGATCGAAGCCCCCAGGCCCTGGGGCCCTCCGTGGCAGCTCTCCCACCCCAGACCCCCAGGGAGCTGTCGGACACCAGCTCGGCAAAAGCAACACTGTCTCAACAGTGCTTTTTTATCTTCTTATTTTATAAAACGGCTTACCTGAGAGAGGCATGTATTATTCAGTGCAAGAGGGAACATCAATCAGATTAAGGAGTCAATGGGAACTATGTGGATTAGATTTGCTGCTCTGTCGTCTGCCTTTCTCGGGCCAGCAAAGTGCCAAGTATGAACACAGTGAGGGAGCTGAGGACCTTGGCACAGACTCCAGTTAGGGCTAGGGCGAGAGCTAAAAGTCAGCTTCTGTCCCGGGCACCGTGGGTGCGTCAGGGGGCAGGGGAAGGATGGGGAAGGGGCTGGGAGGCTGAAGGGTCGAAGGCATAAGCATCTGGGGTGTGCTCCGCCCTCTCTAGCTAGGGCAGAGGATGGCTTGTGGTCCTGAACGGACAGCTCCCACCTTGCCACGAGGCGGCGGTGGTCTGGGGTCCGTGTCCGCAGGGGCAGGGGCTGGTGGCAGGTGCCAGCAGGAGCGCACTGGGCACAGGCGCTCTGGGCCCAGCCAAGAATGGCTCCCAGGTGGCTGGAGTGAGGGTGGGGCTCGACCCAGTCTGGAAAGGTGATTCCAAGCTCTCGTTCTCCCAACCACGGTATCACTGGGGCTTGTTCTCAACCTACATGTTAGAGTCGCTTCTTGGCGTGTTTGGGGTGGGGGGAGAGGGACACTGGCCTCTCTCAGCCCCCTCCAACAACCCTGGCTTACTTACCCAGACATTTTCGGTAGCTACATGGGTGGTCACAGAATACTGGGTGGCACTCAGCACATGACACAGAACTGGAAAAGTCCATGCAGGCAGGGGAACACACGTTGGACCGAGGGAGCAAGGAACACGCCACCGCAAGGAACATGCAAACGGAGAAGGTCCTTGCAGATCCAAGGATGCCACAACCCGACGGCGCTGAGGAAGCACAATTATCTAAGAAAAAGCCACAGTTGAACAATGACACGCAGCATGGCGCCACATCTACACCCTCTCTGAAAGAGTGATGCACTGCAGAGCAGCGACCGTACCGTGCAGACGCCCACGAGTACAGCGACACAGACACCGACACAGACACACACACAGATGCATTAGGGTTCTGACACGCCGCAGACCTGCACTGGAGGAGGCAGGTGCCCCGGAAGGAGCAGCAGGCACACAACCTGCCTCTGAAGAGGCATCTGCCACTGCAGACGAGCCAGGCAGCACAGAGCATTTCTAGAAAGACTTGGCAGCCTTTCCCGAGTTAGACGCCTGGGCAGAGGGTCCAGGCTGTCCTCAGTGTGCCGGCAGATCCAGGACAAAGCAGGGGCTCACCTTATCCTGGGCACGACCTCTGAGTGTTCTCTCACTCAACACACATGCACACGCACACACACATGAACAGTTTTTCCTCCCCTCTTCAGAAAGACTAGAAGGAAATATTCATGCTGCTTTTCATGGGGGAAAAATAAGTCAAAGATGCTGGACACAAGTCAGTGTCAGGGGCCCGTGGCCGGGTGGCGGCTGCTGCAAGCCAGAGGCCCATGAGCCACAGGAGGCATCTCCAAGCCCTGGCCACCGGGGTCTGGGGAAGGAAGGGGGAATATGGCTGTCAAAAGTCCCATGGGGAGTCCTTCCCTGGAGTGGTTGGCTGACGTTGCCTGTGGCCCTGGGGCTGGGTCTCAGTCAGCACATGGGTCCCTCAGCAGGAGACCCCTCCTGGAAGCCTCTGATCTCCCACTGCCAGAGGCAGCCCCGGTGGCTCAAAGGGTGTGACAGGTCCCAAGCTCGAAGGGTGCCGAGGTGAGAAGACAAGGGAGCCACTGAGGAGGTCTGCAGGCATCCCCAGGCCCAGGCTGCCTCTGCTGCAGCAGAGGTGTGGAAGCTAGCAGGCGCCGTGTCCCAGGACAGCTGGCCTCAACCTTCAGAGCATGCATTCCTAATGCCAAATAACAATCCTCCGTGGAAAGGGCCACTTAACCTTAGCAAACCACAAAAAGACATTTAGGTTGTCAACAGAGCCACGTGGCTCTGCAAGAGGTTTGCAAAGAAAGACAAATGCTGTGCTGCAGGAGCTGTACATGGGCAGATGCTGAAGTTGGCAAACAGACTTCTGACCCGTTCTGAGATTTCCCAAAGCCATGGGGGCGGGGGATGAAATTATCTCATTCTAAAAGAAAAGCTTGCCCCAGCCACACATCCAGGTACACACATGCACGTGGATGCACGCACGCACACACTCTCTCACCTACACCTGCACAGTTCAGAACGTCGCTGCTACCTGCTTGCTCAGCTGTGGTCAGGGCAGGCCTGGGAAACAGTTGGGGCTCCTAGGGAAAAGTGGGGTGTCCTCAGGGACAGAGGAGAGCCGGGACTGCTTCGTGTGCATGAGGAGGACAACACCAGGCTGTGTGTGCATGTGCGTGTGCAGGGGCCATGGCCTTGATCATTCCTGGGGGAGGGAAAGAAGAGACGATGGATCATCACCGCACAAGCAGGGTGGGCGGGCATGGGACCTGGGGCTCAGCCCTGGCCGGAAGCGGTCAGTTGATCTGGCGACAGGCCTCGAATGTCCACTTGGTGGCTCCGCCGTAGATCTCGATTTGAGACTCTGCCCAGGCAATCACATTGCCGGAGAGGGCCTTGGCGCTGCAGGTGGCCAGGTTGTACACTTCCCCTGGGGTCAGCTTGCGGTCCCAGACGTTGAAATGGGCCAGCTCGCCCACAAACGCTTGGGTGGCATCAAATCCACCACCCAAAGTGTCCTTTGGAGAAGAGCAAGGGATGAGTGTGGAAGGGCTCTGCCCAGCAATCTGGGAGCCTGGCTGGGGCAGTGTCTGCGTCTGTCTCCCCCAGGAGCTCCCCCATCTACTCTGGACACCATCTTGTCTCCTGTCCCCGTGTCTTCAGCCAGGCATCTGTCCCTCCCTGAGGGGAGCCCAGGAAGAGGACTGCTGCCAGCCACCTGTGCTCTGCATTCTGGTCTTCCCCTGGAGCTCCTGAACTCCCCGCCTCCTGCAGCCAGTCCCTTGGCCAATGAGGAGGGGTCAGCAGGGCTGTGGACAGCCATGCCGGCAGGTCTTGGGGCCCCACTCAGACACCCCTCTACTAGCTGCAATCAACTACATCCCGACAGGAACAGGAGGCCTGGTTTCTCCATCCCTGCATCTCCCCCCCAAGTACCCAATGGGAGATGAACAGTTCCACGGGAACTGAATTATTCATTGCTAAAAGCAAAATTGGCCTTCCGACGATGGTGAAGAGGGGCAGTTACCAAGAGTGCTAGACCCCAAGCCCACTTCTTCCAGAGTTCCTGAAGGAGCTCAGCCAGAGCAGAGGCCTGCCCTTGCTGCCCTGGCTGCTTCTCAGCCCATCTCCGCCCTCTCCTCCTGACCACACCTTGGCTCTGGTACCACCTGCCTTCCGCGCCCTCAGCTAGTACCTGTTCCTGGCCCAGCACCAGCACACCCTGCGGCTTGATGGGGTGGTAGGGAGCCAGGTTCTCTCCGTTGCCACCCTGGGTGCCATCCTGGTAGGCTTCCCAGACCCCATCCCTGGTGGTCCAGGTGACACAGATGTGGTGCCACTTCCCGTCATTGATCACAAAGGGCAGCTTGGCCACCTGGGAGAAGAACGAGGCACTCTACGTCAGGGGTTTGGGAGCACCACCCCATCAACGGTGCTTCTTCCTCACCGCACTTCTAAAGGGAACATCGGGAGCCATTCTGAGACCCCAAGGCAGCTGCACCCTGCCCAGGGTGGGTGGTGGAGTCACGCAGGAAATCCACCGCTTTACCAGGGCACCCCTGAGATACAGCTGAGCACACGGCTGCCTCACTCCTACTCGTCCTCCCTCTTAGCTGGTCCACAAAACAAGCCCTGGGACGAATGTGTTCCTGGTGACTGAGTGTACCGCTGCCTGCTGGGCCTCCCTGTGGGCTTCTTTCTTCCAGCTCTGGGTATCTCCAGCCAGCTCCCACAATCTCTGACCACTGCAGAGAATCGCATGGGAGGGTGGCAGCTGCCTCTACACACTCAGACCAGCCTTGGCCCTGGACTGGTCCTGCCCTGCCCACCCTGAGCAGGGAGAACACAGACCCTCGCACCCTTTCCACCTGAGGAAACGGGGCCTGGAAAGCACAGCCCTTTCAGGGGTGGAGCTTCAAGAACAAGGGCTTGGAATCCAGTTTCCAGCCTGGTTTTAGCAATCTGCTGCCACAATGCAGGAAGATGAAGGAGTTTGAAAGCTAGCAGGTAATTCCAAGGTAGGAATGGAGAAGAACTCATGAGAGGGAAAGGCCTGCTCTCTGGTCCCCCTCTGATGGGGTCAGGTGGCCCTGACCTCCTCCTACGGGTTGGGGGCTGAGTGGGGCTAGGTCTGGACTAGGGAAGCATCTCTGGGTCACTTCTCACCTATGGTCCTCCAAACAGGGAGCCAAGGCACCCTGAGGTCATCGAGGAGGAAGAGGAGGAGCCAGGGTCCCATCAGCAGGAGGGACTAGACCAGTGATGGTGAACCTTTTAGAGACCAAGTGCCCAAACTGCAACCCCAAACCCACTTCATTATCGCAAAGTGCCAATACTGCCGTTAAACCTGAACACTGTTTTAGTTTACAAAGACAAAGGGCATCACAGAGAGGGCTCTGCGTGCTTGCTGCGGCACCCGTGCAATAGGTTCATCATCGCAGGACTAGAGGTCCCCACCATCATCCTCCGCCACGCCCCATCCGGGAGCCTGCGCGGAGGGTTCTGGCCCTCTCCGTTCTCCAAGGGGAGCAGGTGAGGGTGCACTCCCCACATGGTCTTCACCCAACCCCTCCCTAAGCCGTCCAAGCAGACACTTTCCTCAGGGCCACAGCAGCCACTGAGGCAACCACAGCCCTGCCTGGCACCTGCAGGCCTGGGCCCTGGGGTAGGCGGGTCCTACCTTGTCGTTGATGAGGATCTCCATGGGGTTGTTGCCCCACTCGATGAGGACCAGCTCGTTGGCCTGGCCGGGCACGGCATAAGAGAAGGGCGTGCCCACGCCGGGTGCTGCGCTGGACTTGAGCCACATGCACACCGTGAAGGCGTACATCTCAGGCAGGCTCTTCCGCACCTTGGCGTACATGTAGTTGGTTCGCAGCGGGAAGGTGAGCTGAAACTTGTCTCCTGGGCGGTTGTCTTTCTGACCTGGGGAGCACAGAACTCAAGTCCTGACATCTGCACCTTGGCATCTGAGTGATGTTTGGTCCCCACCAAACCCTGTGACGCAGACAGGGCACTCGGCCAGCTGGCACGAACACGGACCCAAGGTCTCTGGCAGGGTCTCCTACGTGATGCCTTCCCCAGGAGCAGTGTGAGATGTGGTGCAGGCCGGGGTTGTGGGCATCCGGCTTTGGGCATGGAGAGGGAAGGGGCCTGCCATGGAGTCGGCGCACACCGTCAAGTGCCCGGGGAGGAGGAACCAGGCTAGCTCCCCTCAGAGTAGTCCCTTTGGGGGACGACCTGATTCTGAGGCCCAGAGTGCTCACAACCCCTCACCGCTCCTCTTGGGCTCTTCTCTTGATCGTCAGCAGGACAGCCAGGCCCCTGGTGCCTGCCACGCAGGCCAGCACGCCCAAGTCCATGCAACCCTCAGCAGGGAGCACTGTCCCCTCCCCCAGGCTTTTCCAGGAACTCTGCTGAGAGGGCAGGACAGCAGGGGCCCCAAGGTGACTGGGTTGAGATCACCGCTTCCTGAAAACTGGAGCTCCTGGCCTGGTGGTCTCCCCCTCACACACGGCTGCCAGCTTCTGGCCTGCCAGCCAGTGTCTCTGGGGATTGTCCAGCCCCCCCACCCCACCCCACACATGCCTGATGTGACTGGCTGCTGTGCGCCCCCCCCCCGCCCAGGAGCACACAATGGGCCAGCTCCTGGGTGCAACCTGTTCTCCTGCCCGAGCCCATGAGGAAGGCATCCCCCAGGCTGAAAGTGAGTTCCAGAAGGCATCCTAACAGGCCAGCCACCCCTCCTCCTCAAACCCAGATATCTGGAAGCAGAACAGGGCTGGCTTCAGTGCAGTGCTCCCCATCTTCATGTTGAGGGGGTCCAGCCCTGGGCACCTCAGTGGAGGGTTTTCATTTCCTGCGTCTCCCCTTCCCTCTCCCTCCTTCCTGAGGTCCCTCTTTCTTCTGATCCATTTTTCAGTTACATAACACGCCTTAAGATGGCACTGTTTAAATCCAACCCGCACATTTTGCAGTTCAAGCAGGGTCACGTGGCTTTGCTCCTCTGCCCCCCCCCCCTTACAACCTTGTTTGATTTCTGCGACTCCAAGGCAGAGCTCATCTGTGCACCTGCTCGGGTGCTCCGGGCCAGCCTGATTTGGCGGGAGGTGGGGGGCTGCAGGGGTGTGTAAGATACCGGGGTCACTCAGAAAAGAAACCCAGGGCGGGGTAGGGGGTGGAGGGATTCAGGGTGAAGTGGGGAGAACCTGGTGATCCCAAGAGGATACCAGGGGGTTGGAGAATCTGGGAGCAAATGTGCCCAGGGCCCAAAGTGGGCCGATGTCCAGCTCTTTGCTGATGAGACCAGCTGAAGCAAGGCTCTGCTAACCGGGAGGGCCTGGCCAACAACAGCCACTGTGCAAAGTTACTGAAGATTAAACAAATCAGACTTGAAAAATCCTGCGAGGGTGTGAGTGACTGGATGGGGCGCACCATGCAATCCTGTCCCTGCCCTGTTTCTTCTCCCTGGAGAGGACTCTTGCCCAGGACACGCACCCCGGCCAGGAGCAGAACGTGGGGAGGGGCTTCAGGGGAGGGGCAGCTCCAGGCTGTGCAGACCAGAACTGGGCTGCACAGAGGAGCCGGAGCCGGAACCTGCGGTGTTCCCAGAGGGGTCCAGCGGACAGTGTGCCCCCTCCCCCGGCCCCTACCTTTCTCCAGCTCGCTGATACGCTGGTGCAGGGAGGTCAGGGCGCTCTCGATCTTGATCCTCTCCTCCGTGTCGTTCTTGGGGGCCCCCTTGCCCTCCTCCAACGTGTTCACCCGAGACAGCACCTGCCGCTCCAAGTCATCGATCTTGCTCTGCAGCAGATCCTTGAGGCTGTTGGTCTGGCTGGAAGAATTGAGGCGGCTGTACTGCTGCGGGGCACAAGGGCAGGGGAAAGCCACACCAATACCGTTACCGTGGAGCCCATCGAGCCCGGGAGGCGCGCGGCGCGGTCCCCTCTGGGCGCTGCGGGGGAGCTCCGGGCGAGTGGCCGCCTGCGGGGCCCCATGGGCTCGGGGAGATGCGGACGGCACCAGCGCGCCCGAGGCAGGGGCTGGGGGATACCGGGACCGATTGGGGTTGGGGCAGGGAGGGCAGAGGGGAGCACCACCCTGAGGGGAAACCGCGGCTCTCGCGGACCTCCAGGTTCTCCAGGCGGGTTTTGAGCGACTGCAAAGTTTGCCCGAGTTGGCTGAGCGTCTCCGCGGCCGGCGTCCGGGACAGGTCGCCCATGGTGTTCTTGCCGGAGCCGAGCTGCTTGCGGCCGCCGCCCGTCCTAGCCTCGCCGGGACCCGCGTCCAGCGTACTCTGACTTTCACAGCGGCCCAGCTTGGTGGTCAGCTCGCGGATAGTCTCCTTCTGGCTGAGGATGGTCTCCTTCTGCTGCAGCACGGTCTCGCGGAGCTGCAGCACGTTGCTCCGGAGCTCCTCCGCGCCGCTAGCGGCCCCGGACGCGGCGCACATGTCAGCGTCCACGGGCACCGAGGTGCAGATGAAGCGCGTCGGCCCGAAATCCTGGGCCCCAGTGCCCAGGAGGCAGAGGACGAGTAGCGCACAGGTGCGCGCAGCGCGGCCAGCCAGCATGGCTGCAGGCACCTGGCGCGCCGGCCCGGCTCGGCTCGAGGGGGGCTCGGCTGTCGCTCCGCGGGCGGCCCGCGCTCTGGGCGCCGCGCGGTCCTCGCCGCCGCGCTGCCTGGCCCCCACTGCCGCCTGCGCTGCGGAGCCCGCGTCTTTTATGCTGCCGCGGGAGGTGGGGGGGCTCAGCGCCGCCGACGTCAGCGGGGGAGGAATCCCGCTTTAATTGCCTGCGGCCCGGGCTGGCGGCACGGCTGGGGTCGCGGGAGCGCGGCTGGACCCGCCCCCGCCTGGGCAGCGCCCCTTCCTCGAAAGCTCCGAGCGCCCAGGGGGAAGGGGAGGTCGGGCCACTGGCCTGGACTCAGGGAGGGGCTGTCTGGGTGGCGACCCCAAACCTCCCACCGGGTTCGCGGGGGGAGGGTCTGGCGAGGCGAGAGGCAGAACGCCGTTCAGCTCGCCTGAACGTTCGCAAGACCCGGGCCCGGGACGTGCCCACGACCTCAAGTGGTCTATACAGTCGTCCATGAGCGCCGGGCAGCGCCGCGGAGTGGGGCCTCGCGGGGCTGCTCCACGTTTCTTAGATGTCCGTGTGGGTTTGAGAAGCCGTGAATTACCCGGGCCTGGGCACTTCCCACGAGCTGGTTCCCGGCTCTCCCGAGCTCTTCCTCCCCAGCAGCCCCGCCGCGGTCAGGGCGCTGGGGCTTGGGGGGGGGGGCCGCTCCCAGCCTCTCGAGCCGGCCCAGTTCCGGGCGGACCGCGCCTCAGGGGCTGGCGGCGCGTTTGAGGGGCCCGGTCTGTGTCCGCGTGCTGGATTTTCTGTTCCAGGTGCACCCCAGCTTTCTCACTTCTCAGACAGCGGGGCGGTGGGGAGGAGGGGCTCCCCCTAAAGAGGTCCGCACGCCGGCACACTAGTGGCAGACATCTCGCCAGCTGCTGTGCTCAGCCTTCTTTCTGGTGCAGCGGCTCTGCCAGGCTCCGTTCCCTGGATTCCCGACCGGGTACCGACCCCGGGCTGGGAGCTGGGGACCAGACCCGGGGCCACTGTCCCGGCCCCGGGGAGATCAGAGCCCAAGTGAACATTGTACGGAGCAGGAAACCGGGGCAGGAGATTCCAAATCGGGTGCAAGGTGACAGGCCGAGCACAGGCTACAGCCACGGTCCAGTTGGTCCCGCTGCCCGCCCCCGCCCCCTTCCTTTATTCCCTTTTACTGGACTCTGCGATGGACCAGGCCGGGTCCTTCCCCTCGGGCTCACAGGCAGCTCCAGGTGGGGCAAGCCCAAGCCAGCTGGATGAACGCCACGGCCTCCTGCACTCCCCCGCCCCGCGGCGCCGCTCTGCCAAGCCCGGGTCTCAGCCTCAAACTGTTTCCGAGCCCCAGGCTGCGAGCCGCCGCGGCCCCTGCACGTCCGCGCGTCCTTCGGCCGCCGCCTTGGGGCGCCAGAGGGATCCCGCGGCCAGCACGCGGCTGTCCCGGCTCCGCGTTGGAGGGCGTACGGGTTCCCGCCCGGTCAGCCCCACTGCCTACCCTCCGGCGAGGATACGCGCCACGCAGGGGCTCGCCACGCGCCTCCCACGAGGCGTGCGCCCGAGCGCCTCGGGCTGGCTCACCCGGAGCTGCCCGGGACCCGCGCGCGGCCGGGTCCGCAGAGGGAACCCTGCCCACCCCGGGCCGCGGCTCCTGGCGCTCCCCCACGCGTAAACGGCACGCCGCTCTCCGCCAGGCCCCGGGCGAGGCTGTCCCGGCCGGAGCGCGTGGGCGCGCGGGAGGAGCAGGCTGTGTGGGCGGGGCGGGCGCCCTCCGCCAGGCCCTGCATCTCGAGCCGCACGAGCAGCGGGGGACCCTGACTTCCACTGCCAGCGGGGAGTCCCCGGGGCCTGTCACCCAGGGCGGGTCAGCCCTTCGCAGAGGACGAGGGCGCGCGCGCCCCAGGAGGAGGAAGCTCGTTGCACTGAGTCCAGGCGCCGCGGGGGCGCGGGGGGGGGGGGACCCGGTCCTGTCGCCGCCGCTGTGAAGCGCTGTGTCCGCCAGGAGGCGCTGTGCTGGACACCGGCCCGCCCTCCGGCCTGGGCAGGGCCACGCTCTCGGGGTGTTCCTCTACCCTCGTTAGTTCCATTTCCGCAGGACTCAAGGCCGTGGGCAGGCGGGGAGTTCATCCTATTCCTGTGTAGGGTTCCCTCCGCTCCCGACGTTCTGGAAGTGTCAGAGAGCCGCGGGGGCAAGAGCTTGAATCCAAGCCCCCCTGCCCAAACCCATTGGCTGAGCAACCCAAGGGACCCGCTGCCGGAACGGCCCTCGGTGCCTGGCATGGGTCCCAAACCCAGACCCGGGAGCTGAGGCGAGGGAGGAAGACCTGCAAGGCCTCCCAGCTGGGGGAAGGAGAAGTTACCTAGAGACACGACCTCATTAACACTCAGGAAGCCAGGCACGCAGCCGACTTAAATAACTTCGAAACCATAGATAAGGGTAAAATGTAATACAATAATTCGAAAGTGATGCGTTTTGAGTATTATCTTAGCTTTTAATATTTATTTAAGTGAACGTTTATGTAATATTTTTTCACGTTTATATAAACTGTGCATGTGGTATGGGGATTGAACCCAGGATTTCCTATGGTCTAGGCAAGTGCTCTAACGTTAAGCTACATCCCCAGCTCTTTTTATTTATTTTTTGAAACAGAGGCTCACTACATCACCCAGGCAGGTCTCAAGCTTGCAATCCTCCCGCCTCAGCTTCCTGAGTAGCTGGGATTACACGCAAGTGCCACCGTGCCTGCCTGCACCTGGTAGCGGCGTTTATCAATCAGCTTGCAGAATTCCTGAGAATCGAAGGATCAGTTGGCCCCCAGTGACTGAGCACATCCTGGAGGAAGAGGTGTGGGACAGACACCTTTTCAGCTGGTGTGGAAGGCGGGGGTGGGGGGTGGGGTGGCAGCTGGAGACCGGAAAAGGTGGGCGTGCACAGGAAGAGGAGGAGAGCTGCACAGTGTTGTGGGGGTCCAGCGCCCCCCAGGCTGTTTGCTGAGTGGATGGCGGGAGGCGCTGCAGGGCTGTGCCCAGGCCTCATCCTGCAGCATCTATGAGGCCTGTCCCCTTCCAAGCACAAGGCCCTGAGCAGGTCTAGACCCACCACCCTGAGCAGCCGAGTTCCTTTGCATAGACGTGGTGGGTCCTCAGCAGGGGCAGCCACCCGCTCTGTGCCCTCCCAGTGGTGGATCCGCTGTGCCTTCTGGAATAGCTGTCCCAGCAGGGATGGACCTGAGAGAAGTGGGTGCATGAGGACAGGCCTGGAGTCCCAGGAGGAGAAGAAACAGGACACAGTGCACTCACGTGGAGCCAAGGGCAGCCCCTCGGGAGGACACACCCTCAGCTGTGCCAGTGCCCCCTTTGATGTGGGCAACACTGGGCAGTGAACAGTGGCCGATGTATTCCTTTCCCTGGGGTGTTCCTCAGCATTGGGGGTTTTTTTGTACCGGGGATCGAACTCAGGACCTTGTGCTTGCACAGCAGGTACAGTGCCACTCAGCTAAATCCCTGGCCCTCCACAGCCGTTTTGCAACCTATTCCTGTTTTCAGCAGCCCCTGCTTCTAGCCGGTGTCACCTTCCCCACCTGGGTGCTGGTCTGGTGAGGGGTTCACTGTGGGACAATGACTTCTGGCAGCTGAGCCTTCAGGACACAGCCAGGCCATGCGCCCGTCCCCCATGTGAGGTCCCCCTGAGGCCGACAGGTGGGTGGGGGCTGAACTGACAGCAGCGAGCCTCACAGGACCTCTGAGTCACAGGCTCAGCCCACCTGGGTCTCAGCCACACTCCTGACACGCCCCCCACCTGCTTCGTGTGACAGCGACAGGACCTGCTACTCAGCTCTTCGCGGGAGACGCCCCACTGTAGCCTCCCATGTACCCCCTTCAAGGACACCCCAGAATCATCGCCATGTCTTACGAACAGGCATTTGTCTTTTCTCAAGCTCCTTCTCCCCGCCCCCCGCCCCGACTCCCCAGTGCCAGAGATTGAACTCAAGGCCTTTACACTGAGCTACATCCCCAGTCCTTTTTATTTTTCTAATTGTGAAACAAAGTCTTGCTAACTTGCCCAGGCTGGGCTTAAGCTTTCAGTCCTCCTGCCTCAGCCTCCCAGAGTGCTGGGATGACAGTCTACACTACCATGCCCAGCTCCTTTCTCAAACCTTTTCTTTCCGATTGGTCATTTGCTTTTGGAAAGCATGGCTGGGCCCTTGACCCCACTTGAGGAAGTGAAAGGAAGCCCAGGGTCACACACGGGCCCAGTGAAGGCACCAAAGAGGTGGAGGTGGCTGTGCAGAGCCCCTGCCAGCAAGAGAGAGGAAGCTCCAGCCCATCCACACCTGGCTCAAGGCGGGCGGCTCAGGCTGTGACCTGGGCTCCAGAGTGGCCGCTCGCCCTGGTACAGCAGAGACCCTGCAGCTCCGCAGGACTTACCCATTCATGTCCATATAAGGGATCCTTCAGCCACTGGGTTTCCCCCAAGAAGGGCCTGCCTTCCTCCAAAGCCCCCTGGGGCAGCTGCTGGGAACAGAGACCCGGACCATGGCTCCTGTCCTCCCTGGGCCCGAGCCCAGCCCTGGGGGGAGGGCTAGGGAATGGATGCCCTTCCACTGGGCACTTGGTCCTAAACCAACAGTTTGCAGGAGAGCTTGAGCAGACTGATCCAACTTTCCTTCGAGCCAGAGTTTTGTGGTGCCGGGCACAATCTCAGGTGGTTAGCACAGTGTTGGCTCTCAGCTCGGCAAATATGTCCAGAGACTGCTTTGGGGCAGGTCGGGTCCTGGGGCCAAGGATGAATAAGACACGGCCCCCCACCAGCTCAGTCGTCTGGGCTGGACAGATGTCGACGCACCTTCAACATGATGCACAGTGCGTGGGGCCCAGAGAGGCCCAAGCCACCAGCCAGCGGGGAGCTGGGGTTCAGCAGGCTTGCACAGGGTGGGGGTGTCCCCTGACTGAAGCAATCCAGAGAGGGGCCTAGACAAGTTGGGGCATAGAGGCGGCTGGTGTGAACCTTGCAGGAGCAATGAGGGGCAAGCACAGGGGCAAGGCAGTG